TGACCAGTCGAGATGCTATGGTTGGGTTCCAACCACAGACCTTTCGCAGCTTAACCATTGACGTATCTTGAACTCTCCGACATGATTAGACTTATGACTGTACGGCACTGAAGCATCAGCCCCAACGCTGATGGTACCGTTTCCGATGACGGTCGTTTTTGAAACGCTTGCCCGTGAAGCGATACCTCGGAAGCTCGCCGTGTCGACAGACACGCGAGCGTGTAAGAACGGATGGGGAGATATCTAGAAGCTTATTCACAACGAGCAGCGTCCGGAGAATATGCTCACTTCCTCCATTTCCATTCAACTTTATGATGAACGCCATTTCTTCAAAAACGCCGCTGTCCTCATAGCTGCTAATTTACACCTTGTCTACCGGGACTATACTGAAGATATTGTTCTCAACCTCAAAAATTATTGTATACTTGGCTTGCGAGATGGCTCATGGTTAGAGCGCGGATTTACTGGGAGCTGCCGGCGTGCGTCTCCGGGATTTTGAACTGGCAGAGGGGACGTGGAGTTATTACCTGTGATTTCTCGGCTGAAATGAGGCGTATGTGGTCCGATGGAAAAATATTGTATGGCCTACAATTCAGGCAGTTATATATTGCCGAAACAATCAATGCGACTCCGAATCCCGTATATTTGCCCCTCAGTTCGGCGATTCCATGTAAAGTACATGCACTGACTGCGCGATACACTGCCGTAGGCAATTGCCAGTGCTTTCCCATGGATTTTTCTGCGTCCCCATATACTTCAACCCTTTACCGGCTCGACGACGCCATGGAAGTGATTCCCACCAGTCCGACAAGTGGCAAAAGCTGCGGGATTGGTGGGAGTGTAGGAATCTTTGAACGTCTACCTGGTGTTGTCGAACTGTTACGTTTAGTGTCCGGTACATCTTCGCTCAATTCAGAATGACGTTACCTGCAATCCGTTCATATTCTTGCTTGTTCCGGTCAACGTTACCTCGAACGCGGATGAATCCAATTGAGCCGGTTTCATGACTTTCGATAACAATCATTTTTGCTCAAACCCCCTTCCATACAAGTCTCCTTCAAATAAACCAATTCGGAATCTCCGAAATCAGTCGCTGCCTACGGATTCGCTTATTCCTATCTGTGATAAGTACGACGCTTCTAGGCGTCAATGCAGTCCCGGTGCTCAACTAATCGGAGAACCCTTCTCAGTTGCTGCAGCCACAACAGCAACGACTGCAAGGAACACCTCACTGACCAGTTCGTTTAACAAGCTCACAATACGGGGTCGATGCCAGGGAACAAATGGAGTTGTGGTAGCTCACTCCGTCCCCAGAACTGTTCATGCGATTCCTTCCTCGTTGGAACTGATCCCGCCGGGATAGAAATTGCTAGAGGACATAGCTGGCCTGCCCGGACCAGTATCACCAACACCCCCTGGAAGGAATGTTGGTGCTCGACAACCACGCAGATGTGCTAGTGATCCAGCACAAGGCAAAAAATCTGGAACTAGGAGGTGGATCTCCCCGTGTTGTGTGTTCAACTTCTTCTCTGAGAGCTTGCATCACGTGGAAGCTGAGTGCATCTGGAAGCTGCGGACGCCAGGGCTGCTTGCGCTTCTCGTTTGTACAGATTTAATCATTCGCCAGTGGAAGATCGCTGTGACAGCGAGTGGGACACAGCGAATGGCAAGTCCGACGGCCGAAACAGTGATACACAAGGAATCCAGGGGGCTCGAGACCTACTAGGACGTCTTCGACCATACTCCACTCATCTCAACACAGACCAGGCTGATTTACGCAGCGCCTCACCAAATGGACGCAAACACATTGCAATACGCTCCAATCGGTCGACAGAAACACCTCCCAATGAATCCAACTTCCCTAACACAACTAATCACAGACGGCTACCTAAAATATAGACCGGCTAGTGCTTGTTTGCAGGTTCTTGGTTCGAACCCGAACTCCGACACTCGAATTCCCCTGTCTAGAATTGGGCAACCTGGCACTACCCCAACCCTCGTCCTTCCTCCTGGTGGGATGGCAGTTATGCACCGAAAAGTTGCTGCACACGAACGATCATCATCATCATGTTTGGATGAGCTGATTAGGTATTCCGTCCTTTGGCACACATTCTGCACCCACTATGTGCAGATTATGCTCCTCAACAGTCACTGAGCATATCAATTGTGATCCAAAGAGAGGTACTCGAGATTGTGGTGTGCTTTACGCATATTGGAAGTTGTATCACCTGTGACTGCAGGGACGGATAAGACCAAAACACGAGTCTATAAGACTCAGTTCGCGTTTGCTAGATTTAGGAGCACATGGCGATAAAGTAGCACATTTCAGAATTGGGCTACAGTGGAAATTTTGTGAGGAAGGTCAGATTCGTGAAAATAATCCAAGAATTCCCAAAACTAACTGAGACCCTCACACTTCATCAAAATCGCAATACGGAAGCCACCAAGCACCCCAATAAAAAAGTCACCCGCCGAGTGGACGTTCAAGCAGTCAATTAGTTCATCAACGACAAACAATCATGAGCTGCCAGGCATTTTATGGAAAAGCGACCGAGGACGCTAATCGCCGATCGAACAGCCTGGATCCAAGGTCAGAAGTGCGCTTTAAATACCGCTATGCTTCTAAAATAAATAAATAAAATCTTTCAGCTGTAGCACTCTTTCGGTGCCTAGCTGAGGTGCCACCCGAAGGTTGCACGAGGGAGATCACGAAACGCTTGGGTGCTGTCGGTGCTACTCGCCTTCCAGGATGGGGACCGCGGTGTAGGCACCTCGGAATGATTGTGTTAAGCTAGCACTAAGTCCCTCCCCCATCCACCTTTATTCTTTTCTTTACAATAAGGTTTTCAAATAAGTCATGGCTGTACGGCAGTGAAGCATTGGTGTTGAGCACTGATGTCATGCTGTCGTTGTTGATGATGATGCACGAGGGCTGGGATAGTGTCAGGTTGCCCAAGCCTAGACAGGGGAAGTCGAGTGGCAGAGGTCGGGTTCGAACCACGGACCTTCCGGTCAGTAAACTCGCGCTCTAACCATTTGGACCGTCTCGCTTCTAGTAAGCGTACACTCGCTTGTTCGTAACGGTGTTGCATTCCTTGTTGGCGTCTTTTTCCCGACACTGAAGCAATGGAGCGAAGACAGCGACTGATTAATAATAATAATAATAATAATAATAATAATAACCAGTTAGTTGTAGCACCATTTCGGTGCCTAACTGCCATGCCAACAATACTGACGAGTTGTCCAAGCCTAGACAGGGGAAGTCAAGACGCAGAGGTGGGGTTCGAACCACGGACCTTCCGGTCGGCAAATATGCGCTCCGACCACTGAGTCGTTTCGCCCGTTTTTCTGGTGGCTCCTGGCACAAAAGATGACCAGAAACACGAAAATCGTTCGGAGGCTTGACGGTGTCCCGGAAACCTGATCGAAGACCACCTCATAACTCATGGCTCAAAAGCTCATGAGTTACGGAAAGTCAGTAAAAGACAATGGTCACCAAAACTTTTAAAGCTAAAAAAGAAGTTCAATTTCCAATAATTTGAACAGATTGTACAAGAACTTATTTATATCAAAATAATTAGTGACCCAGACTAATAGGATCACATGTTCTTGGACCCATACTTCACCCGAAGAGTTCGCCACTTGGCCAAGCAGAACGTCTGCGGCGTCCTTCCGGGTTCTACAGTATGATTCCCATAAATAGCTAACAACTATGACCTCACCTGACACCCCGCTGTGTGTGAAACCTGAGACTCCCATCGCCATCCAGAAACATATCTCGAAACCAGAAGTGCAGTCATTCAACATTAGCTGATTCTGAAACCAAGACCGGCTGTCGGTCGTTGCCTGCGATACCGGGACACCGTTGCTTTGCATTCACACGACACGGGAATGGGTCTCAACTGCAAACCGAATTTCCTCGAATGTGAAGTGCAGATACCACTGTCGCATTTATTCATAACTACGAGAGAAGGCTCTGGGGTGGTGTACGAACTTACCGACCGGAGGGTCCGTGGTTGGAAACTAAATTCGGCATCCCGACTGTTAGTGTCTAGTTTTGGGCAACCTAGCATTACCGCAAACCTTGTGCTTCCTTCAAGTGACGTGTCAGCTAAATACAAAAGGGTTCGACAGCTGAGATTACTTTATTATTCACCCAGGCTGACGTATGTGATTAGGTCGAAGGGCAGTGAGCAGGCTGATTACGATTGGGTGAGCGAAGCGAATGAGACAGATGAATCAGTTAGAACTTTAGCTTAGCGAAAAATAAAGCACTAGCCCTGAACACCAACCTGATTGACATCGGTCCAACCAGGGGAACGACTATGAATACGTTTTTCCTAGCAGGTGGTTGCCCATTTCACTAGATTTCCGACTAAGATGCTAGTTCACGATAAGCCTTCGCTTATGGACTGACTACTGATGGGAACGCAATATTTCGACCACAACAGTACCTACGCTACTTGTGAAGACGCGGGAATTCCGATATTATTTACTGAGTGGACCTAAAGATGCCAATCTCAACCACACGCACCTCGTGCTTGAAGGCCCAGAAAATGGAATGAAAAGCACTGGCGGAACTACACTTGATTGGTGACAGCTATTCTGTGCAGTGGGAAGAGTTTGACGTTTGAACATCAACGTCCACCACGCACTTCTTCCCCCAACTGGCCTGAGACATAGATACAAGTACCTATGGAGACGGGTAGGTGAGGATTACATGAAAGTACAGGATAGGTGTGCTGGCATAAGCATGCATTATTTGGCCCGCCCCGTCATGCAGGAAGTAAATGCGACCCCACTGATGGAGCGGCGTGGTCGACGTGGCATGTGTTTCTAGTAGCACGCAGGAAAAATAGTCAGGGGGCTGGCTTTTCTTCAGCGGAGTTTGTTCCAACCCATCTGACTTTGACGACAGATTTGCCGGCGAAATGCTACTACCGCATGGACATGCAACTTGCACATTAGGTGTTCAGTGTATCAAAACGGCTTCCATTTACCTGCAGTATCCCAAATTTCAAACCGGACTGACCGTGGAGGGTCCCCACATATCACCGTTTGCGTTAGGAATGCGGCTAAAAGTTAAACAAATTGCTCTGATGAGGACAAGACAACGTACCACCAATGGTTGCCTCCTGGAATTCACTGAATTGTGCCTTTACGAACCGAAGAACGATACTAGATTTTCCCACTGCTGATTCCCCCAGAAGGACTAGCTTTGAGTTGAGCTGTCGGTCCGACATCTAAGTTTTTTTAGCGCGATGATGACCAGGTAACTGCAACCAGGTGTAAGGGATTCGCGGCAAGCAGTATCCAAACACGCGGGGCGCGGGGAGCAGCGCACTTAAACAACGAACAGAATGCATTCAGTCTGTGCAATGATAGGCATAACAAAATTAGCACTAGCAAAAGTGGTATAGAACCACCATCCCACTGTATTTTCGTGCGTGACCACAAACTCAAAGTCTTCTTAGTGTCCCTATGGACAACTGTAAACCATCTTCAATGGATTCGCAGTCGAGTAGGAAGCCAGGTTTCTCGCTAGCTGATACAGGGCGAGCAACTCTGGCTTTCGAATTGCCTTGAATGTAGTTCCTATATTGAAGGCCGTGGCGCTGCTGATAGCTTCCGGCTATTCCAGGATGCAGCAAACGAGAAGCTGTAATTCAGAATCCCGATGTTTTCAGTGCCGTTGTTTGTAGGGTGGAAAGTGTTCGGGTATTGGTTATTATTTATCCTTTTTGATGTCTGGTTCTAAAAGAAATACTGCATGTATCGTACGGTGCAATGCAACACATTGCTAGCTGTGGCACGATCAGTCTCATGTATCCACCAGAGGAACCGTTTGTTTTCATGCTTTGCGCGCCTGAGTTCAACTGTAGGCGGACGCCGATGTGACGGGGTAACCGAACATCAGTTATGCCAGTTTTGCCCCGAGGCAGGAAGGAAAATTGTAGTGATGTTTCCGAAAGGGTACTCCGAGTCTTCCGCAGGTTTCACGATCCCAAACTGGGTTCGAAGGTCACAAACGAGGGTAAGCACAATTACTCGACGAACTTCACCTCTGCATTACCGTGATGTCGACAAGTACGCACGTCTGTCACTTACGAGCAAAGCGTGGTGTCAATATACGAACAACAAACAACGGCGGGCGGAACGGTGGCTCGGAAGTGCGAGTCGCGGTCCTTCCTCCCGAGGTCAGCCTCGGTATCATTATCCCGTTATCCTGATTGGTGGTGTGATCACAAAGAAATTACGGCAGGTTAGAGCAGGTCCCACAGCGGGCGCGTACACGCATGGATAAGTAGGTCGGTGACACTGATACACAGGTGCTAGTATGCAAAGGTCGGATGAGGCGGCATTTCCGGTGAGGTGAATAATAAGTAGATGGAGTGAAACAGGCGGGGATGGAACAGTAGATGGGCGATGTTAACAAATGGGTGGGAGTTATCATGATTTTAAGTTATGTATTCCACGGGATCTGAGTGAACTGAATCCCAGTCCATATTGGTGCGGGTGAATAAACGTAGATCAGCTGATGGAGTTAGATCAGCTCGGATGAACTTTAGGTGAGCAGATTAAACATGCATGCGCGAAGGCAGGGTCGACCAGGGCTTTCATTGAGAATGACGCGTATTGCTTCAGGATAGCTCAGGTTAGTAACAATGCATTGATAGAGTACTGTTGTGATATCATTGGTGTGGAGAGCTTTGGCGTGATATTGTAGGTGTGCCTGAGTTGTGTTCTTGGTGTGGCCCCTGATCTCAGTCTAGACATGCTTTACCCATAGCACTGGGACTTTGTTACACGAACTTTGTTACACGAACTTTGTTACACGTCATTATAAAACTCTGTTCTGAAAAAACCTCCCTCGAGTGTAGAGTCAAGACATGGTTACAGGATATTGTTTCCGTTGATAAAGGGTGGTTGGCGCTTTGTGTACTCTGGGAGAGCCAATTACATAGTCGATCAGCCAGTCCAGACCGAAAGGCTGGTTGCTCAGCCCATGATCGGAAAGCAATGGTTTTGAGACTGATAAATTCGTCAGCTGCGCACTGTTGCTGATTAACAACACGAATGAGAAGGCTGCACAGCGCTTCCCGGGTAAGCCTCGCTGGCAGGGGACATCCTTACTAAACAGTTACTGTGGTTCGATAGGCAACATCTGAGGACAAACGCAGATATATGAGCAAAATTTCGCACGTTAGCACCAGGCAGATATATTTAAGAATAAAACGCTACCAAATGCTTTGGGTTCTATAGATAACTGCTTCTATATAATGGTTCAGGTAACCATTTACCACTCCATTTTCGGCCAAAGGATTGCGTTTGTAGCTTCAAATGCTCCATTTTTGAACATCGGCCACGGCAAATATCCATTGCATTAAATCAGCATTTCTCAGGTGAACGAGTGCTCTAAAATAGGACGTGGGGCGCCCGGAAGCTGGATATAGTAGTAGGCACTAGAAGACGCCCACTCAAACTTAGCGACGTTTGTATGTCACTGCTTGTTCCTGTATATTTCTCTGGCGCGTAATCCTGGTAGTTCAATTATATCCAAAAGACCAGCCCTGCTGGATAACCCAAGCAATCTAATAAGCTCGCTTCCAGTAATTTCCCCATGAACGCGGGGCAAAACTGCCACGATTTTCTGCAGTGTAAAGTTTACTGCAGTTTGAAACCTCCAGCTTCAGCAGTTAAGCGTTGCTTAATCTATTTTCCCCCCATGAAGCATTGAGTATTTTCGGGTCCATTTCAATAAGGTTTCAAATGACTTTCTGAAGCATTGAGTATTTTCGGGTCCATTTCAATAAGGTTATCAAATGACTTTCTTCCGGAAGAATCCACTATCTCCAGAAGGTGCTCAGCTCTACAACGAATTTTTATGCGTGCTTCATCCAACTGAAAAGAAGTTCATATATACAGGTCGACACACCCGCCGTCTTATCTGTTCTGTTAGATGGGTTGTCCTGTGGGTTGTGTATCAAGAATCCTTAACGAAGTGCTCCAGGACGGATTTAATTTTCGAGGCGTGGAATTAAATAATGAGGCACGAGGCTGAGCACGTGTCTTGGTAGCAATACGTGTGAGGGATTGACAATTATGTCGAAATTATGCACCGTCTATCATCCTAGATAAATGCAGTGTCTCGCAAATGCGGGGCGAATAAGACGACAGCCGAGATTTGAGAAGGCTCACCGATCGAGGTGATTGAATTTTTGGTAAAATGAGTGAGAACTGTCATGCCATAGTGCACTGGTGAGCGCTGGCTTTGAAACGTAGCTCAAACTCGGGGTGCAACGGGTGCGTCCAAGTCTATCGGTAGGACCTTTCTGGGACTGTATGTTCGGTGCAATGTCCCCTGAATCCGAGTGCATGGGGATGGCTGTTTTTGCCAGTGCGTTAGCCACGGACCATAAAATGGCCGACCATTTAAATTATCTGGTCACAATTTGAGATGGTTGCTTGGACACCAGATATGAAGCTTGACGGCACTCAAACTGGGTCTGAAGTTGATGTTGAAACACTGGAAAGAAATGTTTTGAATCGGCCACAGATGCTCTAATTGGGCTTTTATTTTCGTTAAATTTCCTCCATGTCTATCCAGAAAATTCAAGGTCTCTTCTTGATTTTGATGTTTAATTTTTCGGATCGTGAATCCTCCTTTAAAAATGAAGCCCACATCACAGCTGTGGGCACGGTGGACAGTCCAGATCGGTGCTCTAGCTTCGATGAATCTTTAGGGCTCTCATTAAAGACGGAATGCTGGTTTAGTTAACGAATTTTAGCTGACCAGCAGTTGAAGGCCCAGAACTTTCTATATACCTAGACTCTACAAATACGCGCGCATTTTTAGTTAGCAAGTCTAACGCCGAAATCTCTGGGACATTTGGAGGAAACGGGGAATGACTATTTCGGGTAAACGTTTGCGCAGGAACTTGCCTGACGTTTAGTAGAATCGCAGAGCTGATGACAGCCATCAAAGTACCGGTAGATTCGGGAGCGGCAGAGCCGGGTTTTCACTGAATATATCAATTTTAAGTTGCTGTAATGATAATAATAATAGTGTTTATTCCCAACTTGTGGGTGGCATACCGTCTGGCATGATCATGAGTTTACAGTCAAAATGGGGCATGACTGGGGGATTTGCGGGTAGTGGGGATATTGCGATAAGGGGACAATGTCATGAACAGTGAGAAGTATTCGATGAAATAATAATAACGGGTTTCTTTCGCAACTTGTAGGGAACAATGTGCATGAGGTCCGACTAACTCAAAGACTCAGTCGGCTGACATGAACTAAGAGTGAAAACCATTGATGGCCATAAGTGGCCTTGGGTGGTTGTATAAAGGGCCGGAGTCACAACGAGCAAAAGTGGAGGTGGACAAAAGATGATTCGAATCGGGAGAACATAGCAAGTTTAGTCTCAAAATTATGGTGCAACCTGAGAACAAGCAGACTCACTGGTTGCACTGTTGTAGGGAAGTCAGGTGCAGGGGTTAGGTTGCATGGGGACGCAGAGGTGGTTGAATTCGAATGAGTAGTCCGACAGGCTGGAATGAATGTCATGGTGGTAGCTGGGGTCAATGAAACGAGTAGGCAAGAGGGCTCGTTTGGGAGGAGGAATGGAACGGTTGTGGGTGTGCTATCAGGCTGAGTAAGGCAGTGCCGTGCCTTCACTGGCCTGACATGCTTCAGGTTTTGGACAGTCCCGTGGAAGACGTCACATTTGAGATGATTCGGCTGAGGTGTGCAGTTCACTGGGCAGCGGGTATTCATTACAGCCTGGTCGAGGAAACAAACTGGAACGAAGCCGATATGGGATTGTAGGTTTTCTTGGTCAACGTGGCGATCCCGGAGTTGTAGATCATAGGCCAGGTGGAGTGGATGTCAGCTAACCAGGTCGTCAAAAACGGGCACTTCCGAAGTTCAAAGCTTAGGAAGATGAGGGGGTGGGAGGAGATCCGCAAAACATGGCGAATTTGAGGGCATATAAAATGGGATCAAATGCATTAGTATACACAGAAAGAAAAACTTGATGTCTGCTGCAATTAGGGAGATGACAAGTGATTATATGAAGTAGGAAATAGATAGATTTGTACTTAGCAGGCTAGCGACAAGGGGCTGAGTTTGCTAACACGCGTTATTACATCACAAAGGATCTAGTAAAAGCCGATAAAAGCGAGTAGAAGCCTGGTATGGGAATCAAATGCATAAGGAATGGCGGGGGTGGACTTCTAAG